CTGGTGGTGGAAGATATAAAGTAGGAATTTAGTTCATCGGGTGATACCGGGTAGAACGGTGAGGAAGAGGATTTACAAAGAGAGAGTTTACGAAGGGTTAGCCATATTGATTTAGAATCAGGAGCAGAAGCGAGAGTTTCGTGAAAGAAGTTTGATTTCGCTTTCCTGATCGTTGTTTGTGTCAAGTTACGGAGTACCCTATAGACTTGATAGTCATCTGCTAGTCGAATTCGTCTGTAGCGTCTACGGGCTGCCTCACGTCTCTTTTGCATGTCGCGGATTTCTTGACACATCCAAGGAGCAGGTTGGCGACGGAAGGTTGAGGTTTTGATAGGAGCATGTATGTCAAGAATATGGATAAGATTAGAAGTGAGGAAGTCTACCATATGATCAATAGAGGTACAGGAATAAATATCGTTCCAGTTTAGGGTTTCAAGGTCCGGTAGGATTTTATCACGGGTGAGGTTGTCAAGATTGCGGAAAGTTATGGTTTTAGGAAGAAACGTGGGAGTTTGGATATCGTACGATAATTTGATGAGATCATGAGAAGAAAGGAAAGGAACGGGTAATTGAGAACAGGACAAGAGTTTCTGCTCTGAATCGATGATATGCAAGTCCAGTTAGGTGTCAGACCAACAAGTATGGTGTGTAGGAGCGAAAGGAACAATAAAAAGGTTGAGGGAGAAGAAGAATGTTAAATGATTTGTACAATTACACAGAATTATACAAATCATTTAACAGTAAATTTTAAAATACTTTCGTTTTATTTTGTATTCAAAATTTTACTTTATTAAAAAGAAAATCACCTAATGCAGCAACCTTTTATTGTTATTTTAAAAAAATGCTGAGTGATTTATTAATCTATCTGGAAAGCCAGGCCTCAATTAATCATTTTAGTAACCTACCAGTTTATGTTATATTAAAATAAAATATCCTCATTTGAAGACCTCCTTATTATGCACAAGAAACACACCAGTAATTGTAGATTACTCGAGAAAGGGAAGATCAGCAATTTCAAGCACTCCTTGTTGTGATCTGGTGTGAGGAAGGATTTCGATAAGTTGGAATAAGAAGAATTTTTTGTCCTATTCACTAGAAGGGAAATCTGTTTAAGTGCATTCATTACTCTTTATCATCTCTCTTTTGTGATGGTCAAACAAAATTATTATGATATATATTGTACTAAAGATTACTATCCCTTGTTGAATCGAGTTCTGTGAAATATCAGACAGGCTTTCGTAAAAGAAAGTCTACTAAAAATCAGATATTCGCTATAGGAACTATTCTAAATAGGTGAAAACAATACCATAACCAAACGCATCACCTATTTGTGACTTTAAGTCCGCTTAAGTCTCCGATGAAATAAATAAATATTAAGCTTACCTGTCTGGTATAAAATAATATGAGCACTATTGTCTTGTTCAAGAGAAGCTATCTGACAGGTTAATGTCTACTAATAGAGCTCAACAGTAAGATTTGCTTGCTTTTCCGCTTCTCAATATCAATTTGGAAGAAGAGAATGAATGATTCATATCCGAAGAATAAAAGCTCCTCCACACACAGCGCGATATGTCTCGGCGATACGATATCTCTTTGGCAGTATCGCTCCAAGCCATAATCCGCTCTGTGTGAATATGGTAGTGAAGTATATTATAACACAGCTATACTGCCATATCACCTCCGACAGAAAAATCGTAGCCCCGAGACATATCGAATTATGTGCTTAATAACCTTGATCTTTAATCCTATGGAACAAATCCTGAACAATGCTGAATAATTCGACATTATTGAAAGATCATGAGCTACTGTAAAAAAATTATTTTAGTTTATTTATAAAAAAAATCCGACTACAGAAATCTGGAAATACTATCCAATCCGAGGGAATGTACTGGCATATTTAATATTTAAACATAGAATATTTAAACTTGGTGCAGTAGTCCTATTTCGTTGATAATGTGCAGTTTTCTTTCAGATGTCAACATATTTCGCCAGGAACCGTATCTAAACAATCTAATCTAAAAACAATTATTTTTGGGTGGATGGGATTTCCCGATTTACTTAGCCGGTTTTTTCTTTTTAATTCGAATGTTTTTTTTTTACTTATGATAAGTTTTTTTTTATAGGTTTTTTAATAGGTTATGGTCTGTCAACAATGGCGAGCTATTCAGTATAGGCCAGAATTTGTTCCATACGTTTAAAGATCATTCATCTTATTTGAATCATCCATTATATTTTTTCCGACCCAAAATTGAAGAGCTGGAGCAGCAAGGAGGAAATCTTGCGTTTTTAAAAAATATAATTTTTATTTTAATCTTTTTAATTTTCCAAGGATTGACAACTAGATTTATATTCGAAACATATGATTGAGATCTTATGTACAATATGAAATCAACAAAAATTTGAAAATACTTAAGATATATCAAAATATATTTTTATTACTTTGAATCATAAGTTCAAAAACAATTGAGGAATTTTCCCAAATAATTTGAGTTATGGAATTTAAAAATCGGTTCAACCGTAAGCTCAAAAAATCGTTACATATCTTTTATATAAACCCAACCTGTGACACTTTTGTGGCCTCACCACATACCCGACAACAAGCTTTTAGTCTGTGGGTCAGACCACCTTACCGTGCACTCCCCCCCCCCCACATCCCTATAAATTGCATATCGTTGTGTTCCTTGTGACAATTTATTTAAAAAAAGCCAATGTTCCCACAAAAAAAAGTGAACGAACTGCCCCAAAATGGCGTCCAAACATGGCGGATTGACGACTTTGACTTTACTTAGTTTTTTTGTTACTGAGAATCAGCATTTGGCTTAATTTCATTATAGTTGGTCTTTTATTAAAGCTGGATAGTCATAGAATAATAAACCATGAAAAAATATTAAAAACTAATTGGCTTAGGCATTAAAAAAAATCGGTAAAGTCAATTTTTTTTACAAAAAAATTTTCAAGTTGAAAATCAAGCGTCGTTTGTAATCAAACGGTCAACAATAATGCAAAACGTGCTGAAATAAAACATCTGGAGAATATATTTCTCTTTCTAAAACACTGATTACTTTTTAAAATATTTGAAGTAGTTCCGTAGAAAATGTACATAAGCGGCAGAAAAGCGCTACTGGCGTAGGTGCCTCAGGCCTCTACCACACCACTCAGTACTCATAAATGACTTAGTTATAGTGCTATAATAACGTTTTTGTTATATTATATTGATTGTATTAACGAACAAATATTAATAAAATAATTTATTTGTCAAAAATTTTTTTTTTAAATTTATTATTATTTATTTTTTTAAATTTAACTTCCTTTATTCTATACGGAGGTCGCTTAAGAAGGCCTCTATTATAAAAATTATATAATTATAATAATACAACTTAATTCAAAAATACTTTGCAGAATATCTTGAATTTTTTATTTAATATTTGCAATTTAACATTTTGTTTTATATATTTCCTGATTCTTAGAGGTAATTTAAATTGTATATACTTCCCCGGAAATGAGTCATATTAATATCTGTTTTATAAACTAAAATAATATATACCTAATCTGAACTACTTTTAATGAATATGTGATGGATTGTTTAGTAAAATTCAGATATCGCTATAAAAAAAAACATTTTTATTTCCTTAATTTTATTTGGAAGTTGGACCATATCATAAAAAATATGAACTTTTAATATTAAATGCATTATTCCCTCTGCACAAAATAAGGATGGAAAGGGCGAAGCTATAAGTTCTTCTAGGTAACTGGAACTGATTGTTAGTATCTGGTCTCAAAATGAGGGAAAACGCGAAATTGAACCCAAACATTGGAAAAATACATTAAGCGAACGACAAAGGAAGTGCCAAAATTTGGGAAAAAGAAAACAAGGATCAGTATCCGTTATATGGCTAAACGAATATATAGTAGAAAAATCAACAGAATATTTCAATATGCTGCTAAAAGGCGGTCAAAATGCTTGATCAGTTTGGATGATATTAAGCAGGTTTATTATAGTGAAGCCATTTCATCACCGAGAAAGATTTATTCTAAGCAATTGGCAAGTCAGCTGGTCTGGATAGAGGCCTTCTTAAGCGACCTCCGTATAGAATAAAGGAAGTTAAATTTAAAAAAATAAATAATAATAAATTTAAAAAATATTTTTTTTTGACAAATAAATTATTTTATTAATATTTGTTCGTTAATACAATCAATATAATATAACAAAAACGTTATTATAGCACTATAACTAAGTCATTTATGAGTACTGAGTGGTGTGGTAGAGGCCTGAGGCACCTACGCCAGTAGCGCTTTTCTGCCGCTTATGTACATTTTCTACGGAACTACTTCAAATATTTAAAAAAGTAAACAGTGTTTTAGAAAGAGAAATATATTCTCCAGATGTTTTATTTCAGCACGTTTTGCATTATTGTTGACCGTTTGATTACAAACGACGCTTGATTTTCAACTTGAAAATTTTTTTTAAAAAAAATTGACTTTACCTATTTCTTTTAATGCCTAAGCCAATTAGTTTTTAATATTTTTTCATGGTTTATTATTCTATGACTATCCAGCTTTAATAAAAGACCAACTATAATGAAATTAAGCCAAATGCTGATTCTCAGTAACAAAAAAACTAAGTAAAGTCAAAGTCGTCAATCCGCCATGTTTGGACGCCATTTTGGGGCAGTTCGTTCACTTTTTTTTGTGGGAACATTGGCTTTTTTTTAAATAAATTGTCACAAGGAACACAACGATATGCAATTTATAGGGATGTGGGGGGGGGGGAGGTGCACGGTAAGGGGGTCTGGCCCACCGTGTATTTCCTTGTCCTAGAGGATCCAGCCAGGAAGCGCTTAGGGTATTACTATTTATATATCTAAAATCGAATATATTATTTCTGCTCAAGACAGACTTACTAACAAATATTTTTTTCACATTTTGAATTATCCATGACAACGAACTTCTGTCAGTACTTAAAATAATAATGAACTAATTTACAGGAATAAATATTGTTGTTACCTCCTCCTGATGTCCCTGATGTCTTCAGGTTCTTCTTCTTTGCTGGTCTTGAACCTGCCAAGGATCTCCGAGTTCTCTTTCAAGATCCTCATCAGGTCGTCCCGTTTTTTGGCCGCTTCTTCAGCCTCGCTTTCCGAGGAGTCGCAGAGTTCCGTCGAGCTGCTACTGCTGCTACTAGAACTACTATCCCTCCTACTCTGCGCTTTCGGCTCTTCTTCAGGAGAGGGAGGCGTCAGTGAGGTTGAAGCGGTCGAGGAAGTCGTAGCTGCGAAAAAAGGCGCTTATTGGATATTGATAATAATTAGTCTTATAACAATAAAAAGCTTTGTCGTTTCTTTGAAAAAAAAATTATACAACGATAATGATTAAAATAGCTAAATGCGGCAAACCATGGTTATGATTTATGTTTAAATTTGACTAAAATAATTTAGCTCTACATTCAGTTGAAAAAAAAAATACTAACAAATATAGCTTTTTTCTACCAAATAATCTCAAACAAATGAAACTATAAATTTACCAGATTTTTTGGTATCCTTCCAGTGAAGGGTTTCTCCTTCCTTCTTGGGCCGACCTTTCACACTTTTGAGGGCACTTTTACCCAGGAGGAGGTGGTTCAGTGCTGGCGTCGCCTGGGAGTTGTAGCTCTCACTCCGGCACGCAGCTGTCAGGCATAAAACTTTTATTTAATAAAATATCACAGAGTTCGGAAATAAATATTTACAACAACAGATAGTAGCCTTGTTTAATTTTGTCTAAATGAAAAATGGCCTTGGATTCAATAGATTATAAGGAATTAGCGAATACCATTTTCTTCATCAACCCCCAGTTGCTAGGTATTCATCATATCCTTTTGAATGATCGTGCTCCGCCTTTATATCATCTGGATGCGACAGTCTTATAAAATACATTGCCCCATAAACTAACCCACGCATTACCTTTCCTCTAATAACTTTAAATTACAGCCTCAGTACTACAGAGAGCTATCATATTCAGAAATTTATGCTGAATTAAAATATCATGGGTTGAGCTCATACTAGCTAAACTAAGTTCAGATATAAAATTTACGATGTCTTAATTTCAAATTCAACTAATATGTTTGGAAATCCAATGTAGCAGGCTCAGTCATAGAATATAAACAAGATACATTGTTAATCAATCATGAATACTTTCAGTTTTCGGTATTTTTTGAAGTACGTTATCAAACTTTTGGGTCGAGAATGCGAGAAATTTTTTTTATTTATTTGTTTGAGGGAAGAACCCTATACAAATGGTCTATCACAAGATAACAAGCATTATTATCCTTAAGGAAATACTAATTCCTTTTTATACTACATAACAGAAATTACTACACTTTTAAGCATAAATTAAAAATCCTATTCGGTAAACGTCATACAGTTTAAATATTTTCATTTATCAAATTAATTTTTTTTATTATTTCTTAATGATATTTACAACTGTATTAAAGAAATACATTTAGTAAATTTGAACATACGGATATAATGACGTGAAAACACTTGCTGAGTAACTACCCAATGGTAACACTCTAGAGTCGATGAATCGGTGAATTAAGTCAGTGTTAAACAAGTACCATTTGGGAATCTCATACCTGTTTCTCGCCCCTCCTATATTGATAAATTAAATTTAGAGACGAATTATAATAGTTTAAAAAACAAAACTAGAAGAGAAATTTTACACTTCAACCTGTTTTGAAATATTTTAATTTCCTCAGATATGATTTCCAAACGAAAATGAGCGATTTTTTTCCCATAACGGTGATAAAAAAACAACAGGAAATTAATGCAAAATGTATTTAAGCTATAGTAAGTGTGTAAAAATTAAAAGATTTCTAACATATTGTTAGGAAAATTTCACAATACTCAACTAATTCTTTTAAATAAGTGTAAAGCTGACATCATATTTCGATTTTCGCTATCAAAAAGACTTTCACACTAACCAGGTAGTAATTTTCAAGAGTTCGTTAATCGGAATTTTTTTAGCCATATTGAATTCCATGGAATTAATTACTCACAAATTTCTATAAAAAGACATATTTGCTATGTAAAACAACCCTAGACATTTTAGTGCGTTTAGAGACAGGGTCTATTCATATTGGTTTCAATATTCTGAAGTGTTCATTGAATTGGTTGGTTAAACTTCTGGATATGGAGAAATGTAGATATCGAAAAATATGTTTCAAAAAGCTAAGAAATAAATGTCGCACAGCTAATCCTGCTCTGTCGAAATATAATTGGTGTTCTGAGCTAAAAGTACTGTTAGATACTATTGGTGAAGGAAATCTAGTTTATGAAACCAACTCAGCCATAATTAGAACAAATATCAACAGGATATTAAATTAATACAAACGACATTTGCAGGACAGAGACAAGATAACATTGCATAGCTCATCTTATAGTGAACATTTAAACCATTTTCGTAATAATGATCAGATCCCGCAGTATTTGTTGATACCGACTAATTTCAAATACAGAAAACTATTAATGCATATCCAACTCTCGGGAAAAAAATATATGATGAAGATTTCTGTTAATAATAAAATTGTGAAAATTTCTCCAAAATTTGAGTGCAAAATGTGCTACACTAACGAAAAGGAAACACTTCATCATATATTATTTAAATGTCCAATTTATAGTAGTTTAAGGTTAAGAATTTGCCAGGAATTTTGGCCTATATAACCTCGTGATTTTGAAAATTTGGGGTGTAGGACACGCCAATATTTTTGAATGCCACCTTTTTCCTGAATTTGTGCTCAAGTTATCTTACGATTCAAGTGGAAAGTAAATGGGTGTTTACGAATTTTTAAGCTATTTACGAAGTTTCAGCCGGATGTTAATAATTTGATACAAAGGGCTCTGTACCACTGCCTATAACTGCTAATAGTCTCCTATCCATCTTATATTCTATGCATTTTATATTCTATCCATTTTATATCTTCATCTTCTATCCATACTGTATGTCAAAAAACACATCTGTCTTTATATTCCAAAACTACGTTTAAACAAATACATTTATGCTTAGTTGAATAATTCCCATTGTCAAATTGCTGGTTTAAATTTATTTCGTTCTATTTGTCTAAGGAAACAGAAGAAACAAATTATGTCGTTACATAACATGTGATTCCTTACTCGTTGATAAGTCCAGATAAACTGAAGCCCCAGTTAACACGATTTGCTTTAGTATTAGGAACGTGTAAAAGCATAAACAAGTGTATACGGGTCAGTTGTTTATTATTAATGTATTCTTATTTAAATAACAAGAAGAAATCAAGACGATTTTATATTTATTGTTTCAACTAAAATTTAAAATAACTGTGACATTTTTGGATTGTTCTTCAAAGTTCTTTTTATTTGCGGAATCGAGCATAGTAAACTTATTATTGTTATATTTTTCTTTAAAAAAAAAAAACTTCTGCACAATATCGAAGATCGTGAAGAGACGAGGGTGGATTTGAAATGTGGGAGTGCTACGACTGGGTAGTATCTCTTCAAATCTGTTCATGTCATTATTTCTAATTTGTGCATATTTACTGGTTGTAAATTTCATTAAATAAATAAATAACAAGAAAATTTAAATGTGTCTCATGGAGCCTATGGGGTTATGCATAAATAATCCCTCTAGATTTGGTAGAATATGCCTTCCTTCAGATCGATAAACTGAAATTTGGTTTGTGTGGTCGTTCAATGTTTGAAAAATAGTATGTGAATTGAAACGATGTCAGAGAAGAGGTTTTAGTGTTTCTCAATTTTTTTATCTATATAGCCAATTAACCAAGAAACAGTAAAAAGTACTATTTAACAAAATACTGAACCCAAGACCATACATGGGTTAAAGTGGGACAATTTTTATTTTTTATTTTTAGTAAACTTTAAGTCAATATACAATGAAATGTTTAAAACTTATCGTTTTGATCTTTACGGAATTTACATAATATCGTAAGTAAGAAAATCAGCATTATTATCTCTTAAATAAATATTTTTACAGGAAATCAAAGATTGAATTCTTTTACAAAAACTATTTCTTTAAAAATCAAGAGGAAAAAGAGCATAATTATTTTCAATTTTCAATCGCCTTTGTAAGGCTGAGCCCATAAAAATTTCGTTTATCCTGGGAAATGAAAAATCTTCTAACATAAAGAGAAGCAGTACAAACGAACTCTAGTACAAAGGAAAGGAAACACGTATAAAAAAGTTATTTCTACTATATGAGCGTTGAGGTAAAGATGTAGACTACAGAACAAACAGAGAATACTCAGAGGATGCAGGATCCAGCGAATCATATCCTTTATCATGCTCATGATATTAATATTGTATGATGTCTCAATGTAAATAGAGATAAAAGAAATAGGAATGAAATGGATAAATATATAGATCTTGAATGTTGGATGAAAAAAGAACCTTTATTGAGTGAAATATTATGAAATAGGAAACAAGTTAAAATTGATACCTAAAAAACTTATTTTTGGGAGTAAATAATTTCTTTATAAGTAATTATTAATTCGTTGTGAAAATTTATTCATTTCGATTAAAAAAGACTAATATGTAATTAATGATATACATGGTCTAGCATTACAAGATATTATTACATTCTCATTGTCATTTTCTCGTGAACACCTTAAAAAATAAATTCTTTGAGGTGAGAAACGTGTTAATCGATATAATGAAATTTAAAGACACGACAAACTAACTTCCTTTCACCGCTAGAAAGAGAAATACTTTATTAAAACTAATGCTGCCCTAATACAAAGGGTTGCTTCATAAACAGCATACTTATTATTCCATATGGAGATAACTATTATATTACATTTATATATATATATTTGGGGGAGGAGAGTATTTTGCGGATATTAACCTCAATTTATGTTTTTTTTTAACTCAGTTTGAGCGGATATTATTCAGTTTAAGTTATTCTAAATAATTATTAGTTATCTTCATTAGTATTTATCGGATAATAGTATATATATACACACACATACATGCATATACATATATACATATACAGATACATATCTTTCCTTTCTTTTTTTTCTCCCTTTTCATAACACTAGTTCTATAAAGCATCAACAATAAATTATATAAAGTCATAAACATTGCATAACATATACATATTCTTAAAAAAAGAAAAAGATATGAAATGAATTCAACAATACATCGCACATATATACATAACAAAGTAATTCTACTATTTTAAAGTTTTGACTCTATGATTTGAAAAACATTGTATTTTTCCTCTATCTTTACGTTCATCTGACTATTTTGACAGGTGTATCTAATAACTTATATTCTGAACGCGCCTTCAATTCCAACTATAGTCACATCTATAGGCGAATCTGTCGTTATAACCTCCACAAAACTACCTCAAATTTATGGCCCCTCTACGAAAGCTGTGAACAGTAGGTATCTTATAAATATAGCGCATATTTTTTTATCCGTTAGAACGACAACAAAAATATCGCATTATTGCGACTTAAAGAAGTATATTTAAGTTTATGATCAATGTTTCTTATAAAATTTGTAATTTTTTTTTTCTGTTGTAATTAAGTTTATTTTGTTAGATAATCTACAGTGAAACTTAGTTTATATTGATCACAACAATTTGTTTAATATTAATGTATATATATATCTTTTTTCCATCTTAAATTGTCCT